GGGAGAGGAGGACGAGTTAGTTTCTGATAGCTCGTGTAAACCCGGGGAAAAGTCCCGGGGAATCCGAGAGTTTTTATCGCCGCACCGGTCCGTGTCACCGACGGGAGAAAAAGAGAAGGGAAGAGAGAAAGAGATCTCGGGGATGTGTTGGGATATAACAGCGCGCTACCATCTTTTTTTGCTCCTTGGAAAAATCGTCTTTGAAAACTTTTCGCTTCCTCTCTGTCCTTTCTCTTTGTCTCGGCGATCGTTCGTCAGGATTTTTCAGCGACCGAGAAATCCCGCTGTTCCGCAAGAGAGAGAAAGAGAGAGAGCTCCATAGATCTCCGATAATACCCGTGGTGCGTATGTCGAACAACCCTCCCGAGTGTCTGATTCCGCGAGAATCTTTGCTACATGATTAACGGAATGAACGACAGTCGTTGGTAACAACGTCGGATGCGCGCGCTATTTTCTTCGTTGGAAATAAAACGAAAAATCGCATTTTGTACATCGAGAGCAACGCGATAGAAATGCAAATCCGATATAAACACATAACGTGTATCAGTAAAAAACAAAAAAAAAAAAAAGAAACGAATAGTTGTACGACAGTGTCTGCAGCGAAGCTTTACGTAATTGTCGCGACAAGTTTCGCGAAACGAGTTTCGATCATTTTTTCGTCGCGCTGCGCGACTGACCAAGTAGAAAATAAACGGAATGCCGAACAGAGCGCGGGCAGAAAAGCGCACCGGGCGTATACACTACGCGGAACATGAATGAAATATTCCGGAGCAAAGTAGGATTTCATGTCAACGCGAATCTGTCGAACGAAGCTTTCAGCTTCGGCTCTCTCTCTCTCTCATGAAGAGATCGCGTCTCGTGCGCGCCCGCGCGGAATGTGAAAATAAATAATTGAAAATAAATTTATGACGTCGCACACACACACACACACACACGTCAGACCGCACTTTAATGCACTTATATTCGAACCATTCGTCGTATATAAACTATAAATTCACCGCGATTAAAAAAGTTCGTACGCGAGATATAGATTTCGCGAGGTCAGAATTAGAACGGTCGTTAATAATATGTTTAAAGTCCAGACGCGTCACATTAATTCGCGAAAGTGTCAGACGTGATTAGCGTAACGTTAAATGTTTCATAGACACACATGCCGCGCGCGCGCGCGCGCGCACACACACACAGAGGTAAGTAATGATTTCAAGTGTGATCAATAGCGTGTGAAGAGGAGAAAATTGTGTCGGTTCTGTAATAGAAGCTCCTTGACTTTTAAAAACCAGAATCAATAGACCGTCTATTTTATAGCGCCTCTAATGAATTTCTAATTGCGGGAAAATAACGCATAATCGACGTTACTTGTTCTCGAAAGGTTACACCGCGCCGCGTGCGTTGGGATCCGGCGAACGTTTCCAATAGCAAATATTAATTATTGTGCAACGATCTCCCCCGGCCAAGAAAGGAGTTCTCTTCCTTCTCGTGGCGATTTTTCGCCTCGTTTTTTTTCTCTCTCTCTCTCTCTCGTCTTCCCGCTAATGCTCGCCTCTGAATATTGAAACTGCTACCGCCGCGCGCTCTGAACTAGTTCACGCAGTACGTGAGGATATAATCACATCGAATAAACGTGTTTTAGAGAAAAACGTGTACGGAAAGAAAACGGCACGCCAAAAAAAGAAAAAAACATCAAATAGCGGTTAACTTCGCTGTAACTTCGCAGAAGGAACGACCGTTCCTTAGAGTAACATTTTCTCTTCTTCTCTCGCTGCGCGCGTCATTTTCTTTCTTTCTCTTAATAAACATCTCTGAAAACGAGCGAGAAACTCGTTTCGCCCCATAAAGAAACACAAAATCATAGAATCCCGCCCTCTTTACGTCCCATGAGTTTAGCGTGTTATTTCGCTCCTGCCTTCGTACTCTTCTCACCCTTCTATTTTCATCGCTTATCTAGATAAAACGCCGCGAATCGCTTTAAGAGGTCGATAACAACCGCGCGCTCGTGTGCCCGCCATATGGAAACACATGGTCGGAGGATCGATAACGACCGTCGTCGGATTCATGAACATTGCAATCTCAATTGTAAC